TGTTTATTAATTCTTGAACATTCTCATTATCCACTTCAACATATCCTCGGTGATTTACACCTCACTCAATCAAATGTATCATTTCTTGAAACAATGTTTGATTTCATCACTGTATCAGAAGATGTTAGTGGATTACGTTTGAATGGTGTCAACTTACAAGAAGCGCCTTTAAGTGACTCATATGAAATGGCTAAATTTGACTTCTTGTTGACATTTTTATATAATTCATCATCCGATGACAATCAATTATCTTCCTCTTTTGTTTGTTCAAGTGATTTATTTGGGGAAAGAACAGTTTTAACCTTATCTCAAAGATTTAAATATCTTTGTGAACAAATTTTTTCATCAACTTCGATGGAAAAACCCGTCGATAAATGTTTAACAGCTATATCACGACTTGATCTTATTTTATCAAATGAAATGAAAGAGATGCAAGATGTTGTGTTTTGCCGACAAACAAATATTGAAAACCAAGGTAGGCTTTTCTTGGCATATAGAGTTTAGTTGATGGATACTTTACGTGTAGTACGTATGTTTCACAAAAGGATGAGTTACTTTTAGTACAAGTATTTGTTTGCAAGGTATTGTAAAAATCGAAAGTCCGATGGGTATGTGGTACTTATAGTTTATTAATATCTTATACCATGGATTAAATTCATATAATCTTACAGGGGACATTGTTTTTGTTGAGTTTATATGTGACGCATAGATGACTTTCAATACAACATAATATCGAATAATGTACTGAAGGAAGAAAACTTCGTTTTCCAATCTGATTGTATTCTAAAATTTGCTATTATGACCTAGGTTTTACTAGAAGACTTATAAATTAGAAAAGGTCAAGTGAATGTGGTATCAAACATAAAAACTTGTGAGCATTTTAACCTTGTTTTGAATTTTCTCATATAACAAATTGTTATGTTCTTGACTATAACTAATGATATTTAACTTTGTTAACAAAGCATTAGTTATATTGATTAACCACAGCAACGAGAACAGCCAAACAATGAATCAGATCGCCTAGACCTAAGTCTTTTAATCAATATTTCATTCTTATAGCACCAGCATCATTTGCACAAGTTCATCTGTTACTTGGTGAACAAACTCATTTCGATACTAATACACCACATATGATGAATTACAACATGCCCTTTATTTATTGTCTTCATACCGAACATACATTATCAGTGAAGAAACTTTGGCACGCTCTTCAACTAGTCGTAATAAAGCATCAATCACTTCAGACATCATTTATCTTTGATATCGAAAAGAATCTATTTATGCAACAAGTTATTAGTTTGAATGATAATAACAACAAACAATTTAGCTTTATCGAAAGTACTTATGAATCAGAGGAACAACTCAATGATATCATCGAAAATGAGAAATGTAATCCTCAACTTTTCAACCTATCTCAAGCTCATGTTTTTCGATGTCATCTTATTTATCACCAACGAATCTCTTCTAATAATTGTCTTTCTGATAAAGATATAATCATGTTTAATTTTCATCATGCTATATTCGATCTTCCATCGATGCATATGTTTCTTTATGATCTTAATCAAGCATATACAACAGGCCAATTACCTTTCATTGATGGCAACACTACCTTACGTTATCTTGATTGTAAATATGAATAAATGTTGTATTTATCTTTCATAATAAATGATATTTCTTTGTTTAGATGCTGCCATCGAACAACAAATGTCCATGACTGGTGCAACTATGTTTTGGCTTGATAATCTTCATGATTGTCATCTCGATCAATCTTTGTCATTACCATATGATCGATATCGTCTAATGAATGAACATCCAACTAATCGGGCAACATCTATCTCTTTTGATTTTGGCCCAGATCTTTCTCATCATTTTCTTCTTTATGCATCATCAAACAATATCAAACATGAACATCTAGCACTTGCTACTTACTTCATTTTCTTATTTAAATTATCGAATGGTGTAAAAGATTTATGTATCTCAATGAATATCGATAATCGTTATAGAGATGAACTAAAATCTATAATTGGACTGTTTGAGAATATCATTCCATTACGATGTCAATTAGATCCTCATTGGTCTTTTCATCAACTACTCAATCATGTTCAAGAGATAACAACAAATAGTATGAAATATTCATATTTTCCTCTTCGACGTATTCTCAATCAACATCCAAACGTTTCAAAACCAACGTTTCTAGATGTATCATTTCAATTTCTATCATATACGACAAAAACTGATAATAAACTAATAATGATTGGTGATAGTCAACTTTCTTCCACACTTTCCACAATCAACATTAATGATTTCTCACTTATAATCCAACATGATATCCATATCAATGAACTATCATGCACAATCAATGCATCACTTGATTTATTCAATGTAGAAACAATTGATAACATATCTCAACGATTTCATTCAATCTTGAAACAGTTATTTATATCTATTGATAATCAAATGAATAAATCAATCTATGAAATATCATTCACATTGCCAAATGAAAGATTACTCATGCAATTAGCGAATAATACACAAGTATCATTTTCATCTCCTGTCACTTGTATTCATCATGAATTTGTTTATCAAGTAATGAAACATCCACAAAAACTAGCTGTTGAACTTGATGAACAATCATTAACATATTGTGAACTTCTATATTATGTACAAATAGTATCTTTAACTCTTCTTAATGAATATCATGTGTTTCCAGGTGAAGTCGTGTGTCAGTGTGTTGAGCGAAGTTTGTCAATGGTAAGTTGCATCGGAGAAATAACTATTGATGAGAGTTTGAGATTGATTTTTGATTAGGTGATTGGTATAATGGGAATAGAAATGGCTGGTGGCGTTTATTGTCCATTATCACCTCGAGATCCACAACATCGCTTGCATGCACTCATACAACAAACTCAAAGTCGTCTTGTTCTCATTCATCATTTAACTACGAAAAAATTCGAACATGATCTTGTTGCGCTTGGTATTGATTCAGTATTAAATATGAATAATATGGATAGTGACATGAATTATAATTGTTTTTCAAGTGTGATCGTGAAAAGCGAAAAGATAGCGTACATTATTTTCACTAGTGGTTCAACTGGAACACCCAAAGCGGTTTGTTGACACTTACCTATTCGATTTTTGATTGATTTTCACACTCTTTCATAGGTTCAAGTTCGACATAAGAACTTTATTAATTCTATGCATTCTTTGGCTTATATTAACTCATTTAATAAAAACAACACAGTTGTACAAATGACACGATGTTCATTTGATATTCATGTTCAAGAAATATTTGGTGCAATATTGTTCGGTTGTACAGTGATTATGCTTCATCCAGGTGGAATGACTGATTTTCATTATTTATCCGATGTCTTACAGAATAAACAGATCACATATCTAAGCACTGTTCCAAGTCTCTTGCATAGTTTTTTCATGTTTATCGAGCAGAGCAAGGTAATACATGCTGCGAAATATCTTCGATCGCTTTGCAGCGGTGGTAGGTGACTTCCAAACAAAATCCATTCATTTCTTTAGTATATGTTCATTATTGTAGGTGGATCTTTTTCTGTTCCTTTAATCGATTTAATTGTCAAAATCGGTATAAAGAACTATATTATATGGAATTTATATGGTCCAGCTGAAACAACTATAACTTGTACAGCTCATCGTGTGAACGTCAGAAATTCTACACAGAGTATTTCAATTGGTAGATCACTTTCAAATTACCGATGTATGATTATGAATGAATATTTACAATCATCTGTTAGCGGTCAAGAAGGTGAACTGTTAATAGGAGGTATTGGTGTGTTTGCTGGTTATCTTGGTCGTGATGACTTAACAGCAAAAGCTCTTGTTGAAATAGATCATGAATTATTTTATCGAACAGGTGATCTTGTTAGAATGGGTAACGATGGTCTTCTGCATTATCAAGGAAGAAAAGATCATCAAATCAAACTTAATGGACAAAGAATTGAACTTGGTGAGATAGAACGATGTTTACTCAACATTACATCTATATCTGCTTGTGTTGTTATGAAATGGGATGATGATTATTTAGTTGCTTATGTTCAAGGCTCTAACATTAATGAACAGAAACTGCATGAACATTGTCAAGCTCATCTTCCACCACATATGATTCCATCTTTCTTTATTATACTTGATAAATTACCTTTGAATCAAAATGGAAAAATAGATCGAAAACTTCTCCCACCACCTAATTTTTCATCAATGCATCTCACAAATCGTGATAAACTATTGTTACCAATGAATGAAATTGAAATCATCATTCATCATATTTGGTGCAATTTATTCAAACAAAATCAAATCTCAACTAATACAAATATCTTCATTCTTGGCGGTCATTCAGTAGTTATGATGCAACTCTTCCACCGATATAAAATACAATTTCATCTTGAAACAGATACTCTTGCTATCGGTGATCTTTTTCAACATCCAACAATTATCGATCATGCTCAACTCATTTATCAAACTATGAATGTGAAAGAGAATATCAATGAATATAACTGGTCTTCGTTACATATCATGAAAGGTAATATAGAATGTTTAAGAATATTCTATTAACTATATTCTATTTCTCTCTTGTAGCTAAAGCATCATTTGCTCAAGAACGTATTTTCTTAGATGAACAAATTCGATTTTCATCAACAGATAATAATACTAACAACATGTATGTTATTCCATTAATCTATCGTGTTCCATCTATGCATGATCATATATCTATTTCACGATTACAACATGCATTTCAATCAATTATAAGAAAACATCAAATTCTTCGAACAGCACTCTATCTTGATGCACATGGTACTATTATTCAACATTGTTTAGATACAAATGCTATTATCAATGATAAGAAATTTTCTAGATTTTCGATAATTAATCTTTTCGATGAAGAACATGAACAGAATGAAACTGTAAAGAAGATTTTAAATCAAGCTGATTTATTTGATTTATCAATAGGACATGTTATTAACTGTCATATTCTTCGTCGACATCAATCAAATCATTCATTCATTCACAATAATGATGATCTATTGACTACAGATGATCTGATATTATTTACCATTCATCATGCAATGTTTGATGGAGCATCAGTATCAATCTTCATTCGTGATCTTTCTCTTGCTTATCAGTCTGATGACTCTTTGTCTATGGATGAAAATACATTGAAATACATGGATTATTCTGTTCATGAACATATCATGGATATGACACTATCTCAACAGTTTTGGCAATTAGAACTCAAAGGTTACAATCTCACGCGCCAGTTATCACTACCAGCTGATCGGCAACGTTCATCAACTAATCAACAACGATCAGGCTTAGCATCCACAGC